AATGGCCTTCCTTCTTCATGACAACAGTCATCTCATAACTGAGATTTACCAAGTTCCTCTTTTAACTTCCTTACACTTGAGACCTGCCTAATAAGAAAGAAAAAATGAAGAAAGAAAGGAAGAAAGAAAGAAAGAAAGAAAGAAAGAAAGAAAGGAAGGAAGGAAGGAAGGAAGGAAGAAGAAAGAAAGAAAGAAAAATACAAGCCAAGGACTGGAAAGATGACTCAGCAGTTAAGAGCACTGGCTGCTCTCCAGAAGACCCAAACTCGATTCTCAGCTTCCATGTGGTGACTCACAACCATCTGTATCTCTGGTTCCAGGTGATCCAGTGCCCTCCTCTGGCCTCCTCGAGCACCAGGCATGTGCATTGTGCATAGACATGCGCACACAGGAAAAGTACCCATATACATAAGAACCAAATAAAATGAAATGAAAATAAATGTAAGGAAAGAAATTTTGTTTGGAATGGTATCTACAAACATACTTGAGAATCTGTGGTCAGAAACCAGAGGGCAGAGGAAAAAGACAAGGCAGCAGATATCAAAGGTCCTGACCTGGCCTTTGAATAACAATACCATTTCATGCTAAGACAAGTTATACGCTCAAACTTACCTCACTTCGGCATTTTAGTACATTTTAATAAATATTGTTTCTGTGGCATATCAAAATATGGGTTATCTGTCTTGGGGAAGAATGGATTACACATCTTGTGAGACGTTAGTTAACTGGTAGAATATGTTTTGTCAGCAAAATGAATCGCGATTCAGTTGTTCTGTGGCTAGAAATTGTTATTATGGATGTTTTCAAAATGTACATTAAGGAAGTTGAAAGAAGAGCTGTTTTACAATGAGATTCCATGTGTACCGTCATGTATGTAATGTAAAATCAGTTATAAACTAAGTTGTGTTTAGAAGTAATATTAAGATGGGATTGGGGAAGCTATTTAAACTCCCCAAATGGTACTTTTCACCCCATTTGAAGTGAAAGAAATGAACTTTCATCTCGTAAAAGACTTGCATATATAAAGGTGATAAAGAGTAGGACTGATTCTGACACTGTAAACACCACATGACATGAATATACTCACCTACTAGTTCATAGTTAATCATGATGGACATAAAAAAATACATTTTTATCAAAAAAAGCCTCTGACATTGCTCAGTGCTCAAAGGTAACAAAGTTTCTGTCCAAACACCACCTGAGGAGGCTCCAAGTGTGGAATGTAATTACTGATCAGTAATGTCTCCTGAAGTCTGAGTACACTTCTCTGATTCCCAAATCCAGGATTATCTCAGAGTCACTTGGAGAATATTTTTTTAAGAGTGAACAAAGGAGGAAAGACTCTGGGAACACACCCTCTACTCTGTCAGAGTCCAGACTTCACCCCAAAGAACAATCCAAGCAGCTCTGATGCTATTTAATGTTAAACGAGCTTGCAGGTAGCTAGCTGCAAAAGAAGTTTGGAGTATTTCATTAATGTAGAACTAAAGGTAACTAGTTATAGTGAACTTCTTTTGAAAAAGTAATCACCATGTTGGTAGGTTATCCAGAAAAGCAACAATATGACCTAGTTATTAAAAAGAGTCTTAAGTAACTTGCAATTTACTGTCCGGGAATCAATACCCAGCCAGACCCCTGTACACTTTGCCCCAGGTTTAAATTGAGTTCTGAGAGAATGGAATTTTCATTTAAAGGTCTCAAGCTCCATAACTATGTACCCAGATGAAAAGAAGTTCAAAGCTGGCTATAAAAGTCCATATGTTGACCTTAGAATTCAAAAAGTTACAAATCAAATACAGGTGCTCCTCTCCTTACAGACTGTGACTTTGCTCCTCTCCACCCCCCCCAAAAAAAAAACATTCAAAACACTAGTCAGTGAGAATTTCACTGACCATACATAGCCTAGGGACTGTCCTGCACATTTGCCTTGAGTTAGACAAAAGCACCCTACAAAAAGTTCATTTTACAAGTGTTAAAATATGTCAAGTAATTTACTGAATAACAAATTCTTATCACCCAGCACTGGAAGGTTAAAACATCATGTGCCAAACCACCTTAAATTGGGGACTCTGTTGGTCCACATTCTTGACTTACATTCCCTGAGTTCTAGAGCTTCAAGTAACAGAAGAATCTTCTCCTTGTATCTTGCTTGCTTCCTATTTGTGAAGACTCTGTGTCCAGAAAGTTCCCAGTAATTTAGGTGGAAATATTATGAGGGCACATGTCTGAAGTTAACAGCTCAAGCATCCACTGTGGCTCACATCACACCCCCTCAGTTGCTCTCTGTAATTTCCTGAGTTTCCACCAAAGATGGCAGACTTACATACAAACATATTTCCTCCATACAAGCCAGTGTGTCTTTAACTAGCTCAACCAAGTAATTTATTTTAGAGCATCTGAATAACCATTGATTGTGTGTGAAAATCAAATCATACCGTGGGAGCTGCCTGTATTTAAGTATTTGAAGTCCAAGAAACTGGTTGTAGTTTTTCTGATTAGATATTGATTTATTCTAAATATATCAAGTATTGTAAGACATTTAAAACCTGGGAGTACGCTGTCACTTAAGATCAACAATTGAGCTTCTCTTTGCTTATCAGTACCTGCATATGCCAGAACCACTTTAATATTAACAATGGTAAAGATTCTACTGGAACTTTCAATAACTGCATTACTCCAAACAATGAAGAGAACTGGAAAGGGGTAACACACAGCTGTCACCAAACATTTCATAAAGCATAATCTAGTCACATAAATGATGTCACCAAGTTTTCCAGATTCAAGTAATTTCTCCATGGATCTTTCTATAATAAGTGTGCTTTCAAAATTACTTGAAATGTCTCCATCCTAAAAACAGATATTTAAGTTCTCTGGGTAGGTAACTCTTCCCAAATAGTGATTTCAAATATCACAAGACTTAAACAGAAAGAATGAGTGGAGCAAGAGTTAGAGCACTTGGACCCAGAGTAGCTTGGTCTCAGGTAAATGAAGTAACTTTAAAGTGTGGTCTACTTTGGGATCAAAGGATAAATCCAATTTAAAAAAAAATGGATCATTCACCAGTTTTTGTCATCTTTACAATGGACATGAAGAGTTTTATATTGATTTGCCCTCCTGATCAAGGATCAATTATTTCCTCTTCAGTATTAATCCTCAAACCAATCAGAGAAACATAAATTCTGAAGAGAAAAAATAATAACCATAGTAAATACCAGTTCTGGTCAGAGGAACTTCAGTGAGAAATGATCTGTTTCCCCAGAGACCACGTAAATCACAGATGATGAAAACAGATCCAGGCATGGAGAGAAGACTGACACCCAAGTGAAGCCTGGAAACTCATACTGAGAAACGTTCTCAAAGGTGTTACAAAACAGAATAATAAGGGGAGAAAGTCCAAGTCATTGCCTTTGTGCCACTCACAGAGCCCGAGTCACATCAAACACTTGTCTCTCCAAGGACTTATGAAAGCATACTATTAGGAACAGAGAAGCCTATGAATTAAAAATATTAAAAAAGGCAGAGAGTGCCACCCATTTGTTAAGCTAATAAAATGTCAGCGATACTGCTCTGAACATCCGGTTCTGCATGTAAATAGGCCATGCAGGCTGCACCTCACAGGTGTTTCATCCAGCGCGCCAGCTGCCACGATGCTCTAGGCATGCCTCGCAAAACCCAAACCCTCAGCAGAGAAGGCTTGTCTGGCTTTTGGGGGTCATCAAAGTTAGTTTTTGCTCTTCTCACACCAGAGAAAAGTCAGAGAAGAGTCCCCGGCAGGAAAGGAGAGTATAGCCTCAAGGAAAGACTCTGAGAGCATTCGGTCTGATGCCAACAGTGGACCGTGTGTTTGGGTTGTGCACATACCTGAACAACAGCAACAAAACTTCAAAACATTTCCTGTAGTATTTGTCATTCATCTACTCCTCAGAAATAACCCTTTGCTTTCCCAGAGAGCCACACAGCCACACCCCCAGAGAAGAAGTGCACTCACCAAAAAGTGACAGTACTCCACAGGCAGACCAGAACACCAGGGACATGCCCACGCTGCCTGTGTTCTGGAGTATGCCCTTGGGGGAGATGAAGATGCCCGATCCGATGACGGTGCCGATGATGATGGAGACCCCCCTCAGCAAAGTGATCTTCTTTTTCAGAACCACTTTCTCCTGCCCAGGTGCCTCTTGGTCCCCCATGGAGGGCAGCCTCCCGCTCACATTGCCCTGCAGGTAACCTCCTTTCGAGATGGTGGTCACAACTGGCTTTCTGACCATGGTAGTGTCCCACCAAGCGAGGGGAGTGAAAAAGAAAACAGGGAAAAAACAAACAAACAACTTTCAACTTTGGTTTCTCTAGACGTGACTGATCACTGTTCAGACTCGGCTTTCTCTTTGCTTTCACTGACTGGCTCTGCACTATTTTGTCCACAGGTGAAAACTCTGGGGTGTGCTTTAGCCTTAGCAGCTATCTAACTACTCCTCTTGCTCCTCCGGAGCACCTGTGTGCCACCGGCTCCAGGCGCAGTCAGTTTGCAGCAGCCGCAGCTGCTGCCCTATCATTACACACCAGCTCAGCTTCCTCGTGGGCTCGTATTTATGCTACCGCCTGTCACACCAACTTACTGGGCTACAATGATGATGCAAATTCTCCAGGTTTGCATCAGCCACATGAGAAAGCTCCACCTTGGGAAAGCGCCAACATTACTCAGCTTTTTTTTTTTTTTTTTTTTTTTTTTTTTTTTTTTTTTTTTTACAGTAGTGGGCGTGTTGCTCAACTGACCCAAAGCATTTCCCTGAACAAAGCGTACAATTAAAGAGGGGCTTAACCAATCCAAAAGAAGTAAAACAGGAACAGATATTGTCGTCGTGGTGACTGTAAGCAACTCAGCTCTCAGAGAGAAAGAAAATGGAAAATGAAACAGGAAACGATTATTTCATTTTAAGGAGTTGCTTCTTAACTTTAACATGTGCATAAAATGTTGTATGCACAACTGTTTTGAGAATAGAAAAGTGCCTTAGGGCTGCATTGTTTTCAACAGCAAAGTTTAGACTTTATAATTTGTATTCTACTTACTTCCCCGGGTGTTTCCTAGCAACACTGTCAAATCTAATATTTACAAAGCTAGAAAGTTTCTGCACACTAGAGCCGAGGCTACTGCACAGCTCCACATGAACGGGAGTAATTGTTTCTTAAGACCTGTAATATGCTGTGTTTAAGATCGCCATCTGCGTTTGAGAAGTTCAAAGATCCCAGTGACTGGAGAAAATAGTCCTTTTCTGATTCTTGTCAGCTCGGAGTGGTTTCCTGAACTAAGTAGAGGACTCCTTCATTTGCATGTTGCTCCATCAAATTAAAAAGACTCTACTTGGAATCTTAGGCAATACTTATAATGGCATGAAGGTACACATAGAGCAAAAGCTTGAGAAGGAATTCACAATGTAATAGTTGGAGAAAGGAAGGGGAATGTGGTGCATATTTTTGGATCTATAATCTATTATGATTATAATTTAAAATGTATTAAAATCAACAAATTCTAAGTTTTAGTTAGCTCAAAGCCATAAGTTTTCAGTGACTGTAACAGAAGTACAGTGTCCATTTCATAAAAGTCACAGGATTTTTTTTTTTTTGACATTAGGAAATAATGAAATTTTGAGGAGATGAAGGGATTTAATCTGATTTTGTGCTCTACAGTGTGCACATGTACTGAAACCTAACACCCTATTATATACACAGCTTTCCTTTTTGGTCTGTCAGTTAAAAAGAAATTTAAACATATAAAAGTATATTAAGATTGCAAACCAGGGTTAAAATTTTTACATTAAAAAGATCAAAAGTAAACACTTAAACCTGAAAGTTTCTGCTTCTAACCAAGTGTCTTATAAAAGCCAAATAAATACCAAGAGAAAAGGAATCTCAACTATATCATCTTTGGCTCTGGGTCCCTGTGGTTTGAATTTAATGAGAAGAATCCCATGCCATCATTATCCTGAAGCTACATTCAGACCCATGATCAAATATGCTTTAGAATCTCAGAATAAAAACAAACAGAAAATCTCTGTGGAAGGAAAGTTGGCTGCAGGGGAGTGAGAGAAAGGGAGAGGGGTGGGGGGGTAACAGAGGCAGGAAATAACCTGGCTAGAGGGGAGGGGAGGGAGGAGCAAGAGAGAGAGGTTGGGCGGGTGACAGAAACAGGAAATAAACATTGGAAAGGAATTCTGGAAAGTGCCAGAACCCTCTGTTGGTCCTTACCTGAGAAAATGTTTATGACATGATGGCCTTATCACACAAATAACTGAGGCCACATGATTTCCCTTTTACATGACCTACCCAAGTTCTGTATAATTTGCTTTGGATATCCCAATTGGCATTTTTATAAAGCCGACATTAATACCTTTACTCAGCTGAAATACTATTATGTATTTCAAAACATAATAAATGGGAAATGGTTCTCATTAAATCTTGTACAAATCCCTCAGAAAGGAAAGGCTCTCCTCCCCTCTGCTCCACTTCTCCTGTTCTTGCCCTGATCTCCACTCCCATAACTCTCCTGATTAATGAACAGAAACAGGGAGGGGAGTCTATTGTCTCCTCAAAGGGAAACATTAATTCTAAAGAAATAAGAGTTTAAAATAAAGCACAAAGCCCCGGGGCAACTGTGTTCTGTCCCTGCCAAGGCACCACACTTTGGTGACTAAATTATAAATGATTGGACTAGTAAAACTAGGGTACTATTCAGACAGGATGTTGGAAGTATTTTAAAGGAAGAAAAAGTATTCTTCAAATTTTAAATAACATTCTGCTCCTTAGCAATTTTAATAGGTATTCATGGAGAAAAAATTCTGAAGTTATCCTAATAGCCAAGAAGAGGGTACTCTCCCACATGGGACTAAGACTGAAGTTTTCTTCAAAACTGCACACAGTTAATAAAAACCTCAGTATATCTCTTTGAACCACTCACAAATTTACAAAAAACTACAGGTTTCAAAGAAAGTGGTGAATTACCTTTAATTATCAGAGTTAACCTTATAATCCAAGAATTTGGTTGGTTTTCAAGTATGTGTACATCATAAAAATAAATTCAAAGCAAATAGGTTTATTGTCTTTCTCCTGCTTTTGGTGTTATTCTGAGCATTTTAGAGACTGTTCATTAACACTTACTTAATGTTTACTCTGCTCAAGGATGGCCCTAGTCCCTAAAATCTTCTCATGTATTATGGTAGCTAACAGGTTACACTAAAGATGTCAGCCCCATGTGTATAAATATAGCTGTAAAAACCTAGGCATAGCCAAACACATAATTATTTTTCCAGTTGCCGTGTATTAGAATTCAATCTGAGCTACCATATTTCTAAATAGAACTAGAATTACCATTTCTTATTTGTTGGCAGTTGTAATGACAAGGACATCAACTGGCAGACATGTCTCTGGCTGTGTTGAAAAGACCCCCATGGATATATTTACAGTCCCAGTATCACGGTACTATGTCTTCATGACCAAGAAGACCAGATTGGTGCTGGACCTGAAGATCTCCCATTGATCCTATTAGCTACTGGGGTGCCTTACTAGGAGTGCTAACTGGTACTCCACAAGAATATCAGTCACACATGGATGGTGGGAATGAATGTGAAAGCTCCTCATTAAAGATTCTAGAAGCTGGTTGCCCCTTGTGATAGCCATTAGCCCAATGTTGTTACCAGTTCTGGAAATGTGTTTAAATCTAATGCTCTATAAAATGACTTCCATAAGAAAGAGATTATATAGTTGGTGAAAGTTTGGACAGTCTTCAATATAAGATAGATGAGACATATATTTGTTTTGTTATGTTTGGAACAAAAAACCACTCTTGATACTTCAAAGACTAAAAAAATGAGTGTGCTGAGCAGAGAGAAAAGCTCAACTAATTCACATACATCTAACCTTAGTACAGAAGCTAATAATTTTTCCCTGTAACAGACAATTAATAAATATTTTAGGCTTTATGCTCACTCTTTGTCTCTATATGTCGCTTCTCACATATGTATGCATGTATGTGTGCACAGGTGTTATAATGTTTTAAAAAGGTAAAGCTCATTTTTAGCTTCTCTATAGTTTTCAGCATCTTACTGTTATTAAGATGAAACGATACAAAGCCATTAAAATGGCTTGTAGTAAGAGTTTTTGTAGACAAAGTTTTATCAAAATACACCATAGCCACTCACTAATCTATTTCTAAAGCTTCTTTCATGTCTCAACAGCTGGCCCATTGCAAAAGAGATGAGTGGACCCCAAAGTGGAAATGGGATGTGTCTATAATGGGAAAGGAAAATGTGGGACTCTGGGACAGGGTGGGGAAGTGAAAGAGCTAAGTTATAACTGGCCGTGCTAAAAGGTTGATATGTAATACACAGAAATGAAAACTATAAATATAGAAGAATATTATTTAGAGATTTGGAGATAAACATCAGGAGGGGTAATATCAACCCAGGAAGAAAAACTTTTGTCCCTGAGGAACAAGAAGGAGCACTCCTGGGGAATGATAAAAAGCAAGGACATCTGTTCATTTCTTAATCCTATTAGAATACCATGTTCTAACTGATTGACAACAAATAACACAAAAACAGAGTGTGCTGGAAAGTAAGACAAAATAACATAAAACTAAAAAGTGGTCATGGTGGTTTCTAAGGCCCTTTTATTTGGAGAAATGAGAGGTGAGGTTATTTATCTGCATTAACAATTGAAGATAAATCACTAAATGGAAAGAAAAAGGGAGAGAGGAGAGAGGGACAGAAGATGCCGCGGAAAGGAAGGGAAAGAGGAGGGCAGGGGAGGAGGAAGGGTGTAAGGCGGAAGGAGCAATAAGGAATGAGAGGAAAAGAATGACAGAAAAGGGAGGGAGGGAGGGAAGGAGGGAGGGACAGAAAGAAGAGCCCAAGAAATGAGAGGGGGAGAGAAGGCAGATGAAAGAAAAAGAAAAAGCAGTGGAAGGAGGAAAAGGGGGGGAGATGGGGAGGAAAAGAAAAAGAGAAGGAGGAGGGAAGAAAGAAGAAAAAAGTAAACCAAAGAAATTCATGACTCCTAAGCCATAAAAAAGAAAAAATAATACTAAAAACCTCAATAATTCTAATTTATAATCAGGAATGTTAATAAAAGAGGTTAGAAAAAAGCAAAGCAAGATTTAAAATTACTCAAACCAGTAGCCAAATATATAAATCATATACTAGTATAGTTAAATGAGTTACATTCACCCAGTATAAGGAATAAACTACATGTTTTTTTTTTTCCATTATCCACCTAGGTTCTAGTTAAAAAAAAAAAAAAACCATGAAGTTAAACAAGGTAATCTCGTCAAAAATTGTCAGGGAGGAAAAGAGTCAGAAAAAAATCTTTACGCATTAAGGAACAAACATGACAGAATTACAAGTGGTTCATGATTACAACTACAGCACTCCTTACATTGCCCTCACATTCATTAAAACAATGAGAAAAACAGTTATGGATTGCAGCAAAGTTCTTGTCTGCACCACATCTCTTCTCATCCAGCCCCACCCTTTTCTTCTTATTCTCTAATTTATGGTCTGCTTTGCCCCTGCCATATGTTAGATCTTCTCTGAGGACCAACTTGGACTGTTGGA